CGACATCGACACCAGCCCGACCCGACCAAATCACGATTTCGAAACTCACTTCCCAGTAGGTCACCCATCCTTCCACTGCTCCAGCTCAATCCTCCTTAACCCTGGGTAATAGAGATCAGGTTTTCCAAAAAACGAGAGAGGCGATCTCACCTGAAAATCAAAGACCAGTATCCTTTGATGCTGTTGTTCACGTGGTACGGTATGCTGCTTCGTACGGAATATCTCTTCTGCATCTAACCCATGTTCCAATGCTTCCCTGCATCAAGAGAGATCATATCCTCAAAACCCTAATTTAAAGTTGTTTTTTAATTACATTGTCTAATAATATATAGTTCATACAAGTATTTTTCGATTACATGAACTATTATTGTTCGTATACATTCGTGACGTGAAGTGCTCGGTGTACGCTTTCGTCGTTAGCCCAATAGTAAATTAGCGATCGTCGACGTTCCTGCACGAGATTGCAAGTGGATAATAACACCGTAAATGGTTAGAAGGTATTTTCGATTTGTAACTAATGGGAATTAACAAGCTTTCCCCAATAAAAATGGACAATTGCTTAAAAAAATCATGAACTTTAAAAAAAAAATCTATATAAAATTAGCAACAAAATTTGAGTAATTAATAATATTATAAGTGATTAAAATAAGATGTCTCCTATTTGAGAATAAAAGATGAGAGTTTTTAAGTAAAAATGTGATAAAAAAAAAGGGTAGTTTTGGTCCAATTTTTGTATAAAAACCTTAAAAGAAAGTGTAATAAAAATTTAATTATCCTAATTAGGTTCACTTACATAGCAATCAAGACCTGGAACGGAGAGATTTCCATCGACAGCTCCTCTAAGGTACCTTCTTTGTGGCGGAAACGTCCTCAATGATATTTCACAGTTTGGAATCAAAATAAACTCATCGAATAACCTGGAAACACACTGTAATAACGAACCATAATAAGATCTCCACACGCTTATTCTATATATACATATATATATAATAAGATCTCCACAAGCTCATTGTGTATGTATATATATATATATATTCATACATACATGATTAAGGTGCTTACCTTGTCATAGTCTTGAAGGAGGTTGATGCATTCCGAGTTACCAGGAGATATGTAATTTTCACCACAGCTTCTCTTTAGCGACTGCAGAGAAAAAGAAGTGGTTGACGACTCCGTGAATTCGGGGACGAGAGAAACGGGGGGCGGTACGGATTCTTTACCTCGTAGAGCTCGTCCGAGATAAGCCCCATTCCATGAGCATACTGAGTATGGTAGTTACCATCGAAACGAGCATCGGTTGCGGGGTTTCCGAGGGCATAACCCTGTTTTTGCACCCGTAAATGGGAATAAAAAGATACATCATTTCTCCATAGTGAACAAAACTTTTTTGGGGTAGCCGAATGTCCTAGGTCAAAGTCTAAACTAATTTTGGAGCCCTCAATCAAAATGTTATTTGTAATATAAGCTCCCTTCCCAAATTTAAGGTTTGAATTTGGGACGAGATAGACGCTTTACGCTCTATTCACCCGTTCAACTATCCAAGTTTGGGAATATCGAACAAGAACTTGTATACAATGATGGAGAAATTGGGGGATGGCAATGAGGACCTGAAGATTCACTCGAGGTTTCGATCCTTGCTCGTTTCCTGCATTGTCTCGTCGTGTTTAGACATTGAACCAAGCGGGAAATAGATAGTTCAGACAAAGGAACTCGGAGTTTGTAGAAATGTATATGTACCTTTCGAGATTTGTTGAACGATTCCCGGGACAACCAAACCGGCGTAAGAGTCTCCCGTGACATAAAACGGATTGGAGAGAAACTCCAGATGATCGACGAGCCACTTCAAAATATGACGCAAATGTTAACAAAACAATATATTACGGGAAATGCGCCTCGCGAAACTCGACATTGTAGCCCTCGCGAGGATTCCGCATTTTACCTTCCGGACGAAATCTGATACTTGTTCTGCTTGTCTCGTATCGCTCGGTTTCTCGGCGAGCGGAGTTCTTGCGTAGGAGAAACCGGTTCCGACAGGTTGGTCCAAATAGAATATGTTGGCTGCCTAAGGAAGCAGCAATAACCAAATTCCCAAAAAACTGAACAAAAGAAAGAACGAAACCCTAATTGTGAATGGAACAGTTCTCATGCACCTTTGTCCATGAATACGTAGTAGCGACCAAAGAAGGCACGCCTCCATTGTAATCTTCGTCTTTGAAAGCCAAAGGGCATTCAATCATATATATATATATATATATATATATATATATCAGAGAAATCGTTAGAACACGATTTAATCAAAGTTTTTAATTTTAATTTTTTTGTGTGTGGTTACGTACCCATCTGGTAAAGAAGGCCGTACAAGGAAGAACAACCAGGGCCTCCATTTAACCAGACCACAAGAGGGTCTTCTTCTGGATTCTAATCAGACTTTACAAAGTAATAGAACAACTGCACTTCCTCTGATTCTCCAACACCCACATACCTAATTTCACACATGTATTAACATAAAATAAAATGGACCGACATGGATTATATCAAGAGAGACCCATGAGACAAAATCCTAAGGGAAGAAAAAAAACCAGACCCTGTTTCGAACTCGATGGGAAGAGGACCGTCGAAGCCAGGAAGAAACTTAACGACCGAACCAGAATCGATGTGTTGGCTCACGAGAAGCAGAAGCAACACCGACCAAAGACAAGCTTTCGCCATTTTCCCGATTTTCGGGGTTTGAAGATTGAGTTTTCGGACAAGAAATCTATGGCTCAAAGAATAAGAATCTGAACTTATAAAGGGAAAACCTTTTATTTATTTATTTTATAAAAAGGACAGTTGTTAGGTTCGTTAAATCGCTGTTGCTCTTCTGATTTCCCGCTTAATTGTTTTTTGTCATTTTTTTTTCTATTTCGGCACATCATTACATATATAATTATTATTAATTTAAAAGTTCTTCCGGAGACAAACTTAACTTTAACATATTTTGAAAAATCATTGTTATTATAATATAATATTATTCATCCGTTTGTGTTATTAAATGTCCACGCGTACCAAATCCAGAATCCGTGAGGTGCCCATCTCCGTAAATACATAAACAATGACTACTCCTCCAATACAAATATCTAAATTATTTTCAATATGTGACAACAATTTTTTTTCAATAAATGGAGAAATGACAAGTTTCATGAGCTAGCAATTTGTTGGATTTTTTTTTTTGTGAAATAAAATTTAGAACAACATCTAATGTAAATTATTTTTCGATTTTTATTACTTATTAGAATTGATATAAATTTCGTATATACATTGAACAAAAGAGAGATTAAAATGTATTCAACGCCTTTTAAGATAAAGAGAATTTCAGAGAGAATTACATCACTTAGAATAAAATAAAATAAAATAAAATACGAGTTAAATATTCTAAGACCCAGAAAAACTTATATCTCATTACTATATCACTTTATGTCACAATGTGAAACACAACAAGAGAAGAGATTGGAAAAACTTGTGTGTATTGCTCACGATCGTGGACTATATATGCACATCTCAAAGATAAGATTAAATCTAGTTATATATGGAACGTATTTCTGACGAATCCAATATCAAAAGCAACTAACTCTATCACATAATATATGATATATATACGCAGGATCTTTTCGTCCAATACCCCCCTCTTTTCGTCCAATACCCCCTCAAGTTGGTGAGTGCAAATTTTGCAAACCCAACTTGCCAAGAAACCAAGTAAACTCTTTTTTGCCTAAAGTCTTAGTGAATATATCGGCTAGTTGTTCTCGGGTTGGCACATGATGTGTAACAATGTTCCCCTGGTCGAGATGATGATGTAGGAAATGACAATCTACTTCGATGTGCTTCATGCGTTCATGATAGACGTCGTTGGACGCAATATGGAGAGCCGCTTGACTATCACACAATAATAACATCGGACTTGAGTGGTTTACGCCAAAACAGGAAAAAAGACTCTTAATCCAAAGTAGTTCGCAGGCAGCAAGACGCATGACGCGGTACTCGGATTCGGCCGAAGACAGTGACGGTACGGTCTGCTTCTTAGTCTTCCAAGATATCGACGACGTGCCAAGTTGAACGAACCAACCACTCAAAGATTTCCGAGTAACAGGGCAACCGACGTAATCAACATCACACCAACCTCGTAAACGTAGATCACAGTCAGCCCGAAAGAGAACTCCTTGGCCCGGATCACGTTTCAAGTACCGAACAACGTGAATTGTAGCGTCCCAATGATCTTGCCGCAGATTCTGCATGGATTGTGACAGAGTATGGACCGAGTTAGCGAGCTCCGGACGAGTGACGGTGAGATAAATGAGGCGACCCACAAGACGACGGTCACTACAAAAAAAATGCGAAATTCCAACGGATTTTTCCAACGGATTAATCCGTTGTAATTTTTCCAACGGATTTCCAACGGTATACCGTTGGAATAATTCCAACGCATTTCTAACGGCTTTCCAACGGACGTCTAACGGATTCGTCCATTAGAAATCCGTTGGAAATTTTCAACGGCATATCAACGGATATTTGAGTTGGAAATTTTCCACGTATATTCCAACGGATTTCCGTTGGAAATAACGTTCGACGAATTTCAACGACAATCCGTCGAAATTATCCGAACGTTATGAAACGCGGCAATAATTCCGACGGATATCCGTTGGAAATAGTCGAACGTTATAATGTTCGAAATATTCCAACGGATATCCGTTGGCAAGTGTAACGGTAACGAACTTTTCAACGGATTTCCAACGGATATCCGTTGGAAAGTTTCTCTATTTAAAGCACCCGGCCATAGTTCGCCCAAACCACTCTCTAAATCACTCTTATACTATTCTTTTACCAAAAATTCTCCTAAAAATGACATCTTCAACAAATCCGAATATTCGTTCGTCCCGACAGTGGATATACGAAAGAGTTGATTCGATTACAAAAGAGGTAACGCAAGAATTCATTAACGGTTTGGAACAGTTTATGAATTTTGCTTCTATGCAGCCGTTGTGTCAAGAACGTGGAAAAATGCTATGTCCATGTACAAGTTGTCGCAATTTTAAATATCGCAGTCCAGAAGATGTTTGCAAACATCTATTTCGAAGGGGATTTGTCGAAGATTATTATATTTGGCGATTTCATGGAGAAGAAGTTCGGACAATCACAACGGGACAACATGTCTCGGCCGAGCAGAGGTATGATGTAGATGAAGATGTAAGAAATCCTTATGTTGAAATGGTGACAGATGCTTTTCCTGGGGCATTGGCTGAGCAAAACTCATCACAAGATCAGGAGGAGCCAAACGTCGAAACAAAACGGTTTTTCGACATGTTGGATATGGCAAATCATCCTATCTATGAAGGATGTAAAGAAGGTCAGTCACGTTTATCTCTTGCATCAAGATTGATGAGTATGAAAACGGATTACAATGTCACCGAAAATTGCATGGATTCATTTTGTCAAACGTTGCGTGAATATTTACCTGAAAATAACGAAGCTCCAGAATCGTATTATGATACGAAGGCTATGTTGAAGAATTTGGGAATGCCTTATGAAAAGATTGATGTTTGCAAAAATGGTTGCATGCTGTACTGGGGTGAAGAAAAAGAATTGGTTAAGTGTAAATTCTGTGGGACTAACAGATACCGTCCGAGTAAGAATGTACAGAGACAAACTCCGTATAAAAAGATGTTCTATATGCCAGTATCGTACAGATTGAAGCGTTTGTATGAATCACAACAAACGGCTTCGCATATGAGATGGCATGCCTCGCATTCTACCGTTGATGGAGAAATGCAACATCCATCAGATGCTTTGGCGTGGAAAAACTTCAACATGGTATTTCCTCAATTCGCTGCTGAGCCTAGGAATGTGTATCTATGTTTGTGTACTGATGGATTTAGTCCGTACGGACAGTCTGGCATGCAGTATTCATTATGGCCAGTAATACTTTCTCCGTACAACTTACCACCTGAGATGTGCATGAAAAGAGAAATTATGTTTTTGACATTGTTGATTCCTGGGCCAGAACATCCGAAGAAGAGTTTTGATGTGTATTTACAGCCGCTCATGAAGGAGTTGAAGGATTTGTGGGACATTGGAGTCCCTGCTTACGACGTAAGTGTGAAACAAAATTTTACACTGAGAGCGGTTCTTCTTTGGACGATCAGTGATTTTCCGGCGTATGGCATGCTATCGGGATGGAGCACACATGGAAGACATGCATGTCCGTTTTGCATGGAGGAAACAGAAGCGTTTCAGTTGAGACATGGGAGAAAGACGTGCTGGTTTGACTGTCATCGCAGATTTCTTCCAAGGAATCATCCGTTAAGACAAAATCGTACGCTTTTTACCAAAGGTAAAATCGTTACTGAGGAAGGTCCTGTTATGCAAACCGGAGAGCAAATTTATTCTGAGCGAATAAATAGTGGATATTTGGATGATTTGGAAGCTTCTGTGCATTGTGGAGGAAATTTTGGGCATAAGAAGTGCAAAGGATTTGATGATTGGCATAACTGGTATAAGCGTAGTATTTTTTGGGATTTGCCTTACTGGAGTTCGCTAACGCTTCGACACAATCTGGATGTTATGCATATAGAGAAAAACTTTTTTGATAACATCATCAACACCGTTCTAAATGTGCCAGGGAGAAGTAAAGATAACATCAACTCGAGGAAGGACTTGAAAGATATATGCAAGAGAAAAGAGTTGGAGTTGACACGTGATCGTCACGCACCTGTGCCGATATTCAGACTCACAAAACCAGGTAAAACGGTCTTGTTTAAATGGTTAAAAGAAGAGGTTAAATTCCCTGATGGATATGCATCCAAATTGGCGCGATGTGTTGATACCGATTCATTAAAACTTATGGGAATGAAGAGTCATGATTGCCATGTATTCATGCAAAGACTTATTCCTATTGCATTTGCGGAGCTATTGAAACCGAGTGTCCACGGAGCGTTATGCGGTATCAGCACATTCTTTCGAGATATATGTGCAAGATCTCTGAGAAGAAGTAATGTAGAGGTTTTGAAAGGCAACATTCCTGAGATACTTTGCGCATTGGAAAAGGTATTTCCACCTTCATTTTTTGATGTGATGGAACATTTACCTATTCATTTACCAGATGAGGCGATATACGGTGGTCCAATACAGTTTAGGTGGATGTATCCATTTGAGCGATTGTTTTTCCATCTGACGAAGAAGGCAAAAAACAAAGCAGCAGTGGAAGGATCTATCGTCAAACAGTATTTGTAAGAGGAGATCTCCTACTTCAGTTCTTTCTATTTTGAATCTCATATTCAGACGAAGAAAAGGAGGGCTATCAACGAAGACGATAGAAGTTATCTCTACCACTATGATTCATGTTTCAGACTTATTCCCGAAAGTTTTCAGCCTACTGGACGCCTCGGAGGCAAATCTGAAGAATATTGGTTAACTGTACAAGAGTACAATCACATCGCCACATATATACTGTTGAATTGTGAAGAACTTAAGCCATACGAAAGGTACACATTTTTTAATCTTAGATGTGATTAGAAATTAATTAATTACATATTTGCTAACAACTTTTTTTTGTAAGACTTTTTGACGAGGATGTTTTGGCAACATATCCTAATCTATGTGGGGAGGAACTTGAAGGAATGAAGGAACAACATTATGCATCTTGGCTTCGAGACTACGTAAGTATTCTAGCTATATATATATGTACGTGTATGTATTTGTGTATTAATTTAATTTTTATGCGCAGATTCAGTCATGCAGTGATAGAATTCCGGCATGGATCAGAGATATATCACATGGACCTGGAAGAAAAGTCATTTGCTGGCCGATAATGTTCACCCGAGGATACACGTTTCACACTTACGATCATGGAAAACATAAATCCATGTTCAATTACGGAGTTTGTATAAAAAGCGGGTCATCGGAAGATCCTGATTTCTTTGGGGTTCTTCGTCAGATTTTCCAACTCCATGTCATTCCAGAATATTTCCAACGGATGCCTGTTGGAAATGAAGATTATAACGGGCATCCGTTGGAATTTATCAGACAACATTAAATGCACCCAGAAAATTCCAACGGATACCCGTTGGAAATCCGTTGGAATTTTCGATTATATAAGGGCGAGCGGCCCCATTCTTCACCCTCATTCCAACATCTCAAAAAAAACCAAAAAAAAAAAAAATTCAACCAAAAAAAAAATCACAAAATGGTAATTGGTTTTCAATTCTTGTTCAATTCTTTAATATTTATGTTTTGTATTAATAACTAACTATTGTTTTTTTACAGTTTCGTAGGCGATTTTCTGGTTCCGAAGGATTGTTAGCGGGTTCTTCTGGAGCACCACCACCGCCGCCACCACCACCTTCTCGTCTTCCGGAACCGGTGGACGCTCCTCCACTTTTCCCAGAGTGTGATATAACTCTGGAGGAGGTAGAGAAAATTTTAAATTCCTTCGACACTCGCGAGGTGCCGCTAATCGATCCCGAACTAGACGGGGCGTTATGGTAATTAATTTATAAATTAAATTATTTCAATATTTATTTTAAATTATATTATTAGTTAATATTAATAAATTGTTATTATAATTAGGTTCGGGGTTAACGATAAAGATTTGAGGAAAAAATTTACAGCAATAATAACGTCAAATTTTCCTCAACTCTACTACTGTTGGACGGTGGTACCGGACAACATCAAACGTTCTTGGTGGCATTCGTTCATCGTAAGTTATATTTTTAAAATTTTATTTAAATAAAATAAATAATCACTAACTCTAATTTTTTTAAAGCAATCTTTTCGTTGGAAAAAAAAGCAAACCGATAAAGTTTACAAAGAGTTCAACCAGCTGGGTATGCAGCAGTTGAAACAAATGATGAACAATGCCAAACGCCGTCAGCTGCATGGACTGCCACCGGAGTGGGCAACAAATGACTTGTACCAGCAGCTTCTTTCGCATTAGAACTCAGACCATTTCAAGAATAAGAGTTCTAAGGCGAAACAAAGTCGTCTGTCCCAAAAATTCGAGGGTGATGGGCCTCATCGTCATACCTCCGGTGCTAAATCATTCAAGAAGAGGCAAAAAGAGATGGTATTTACTTAAACTTTAATTTAATTTTTAATTAGTTTTTTAATATTAGATTTTTTATTATGTTAATAATATATATATATATATATAGG